TACTTATTGTGAGTGCTGCTGTCGTCCCGACGACTGTGGCTCTCCGCAGCGCGCCGTGCACGGCGTACTCGCCGCTGGGCTGATCTGAAGGCTGCATTTGCGCGCTTGCTTCCACTTCTCATAACACTGCTCCGTGCCATCCTCGGCCTCGCTGCCACTCGAGTTTTGTCCATCGAGAAAGGTCCTTTCCGCATTCTCGATCTCGTGGATTCGGATGGCGGAGGGGGGCGTCCTGTGTGCAAGGGCAGCCGGTAACGCATCCTTGCAGCCATCTTGGTGGCTTGTGACCTGAAGTGCTGACTGACTGGCGGATGCATCACTCCTCCCTGGTAGTGTGCCTCCTTGGATGCCGCCTAGCGCCCCTCGAGACGCGGCGGGCGGCCGTCGTGTCGGCCGTGGTGGTGTCACGTTGGCCCCTCGAGACCCAGGTGACTGATGCCGCTGTTGTTGCTGGCTGCTGCGATTGGGAGTGGCCCTCCCACTGCCAAGGCCAGTTGCGGTAACACCTCTGCTTGGAGTCGTGGCCCCTCGGGACCCTGGACTCCTGGGAGTATCTGCTCTGGTGCGTGAGACTGTCGCAGTCTCTGCTGGTCTATGTATTACTAGACGGCTGTCACAAATTACCCCAGGGCCCGCCGTGCTTTCAGGCCTCTGGTGGTTGGTAGGTCGAGCATCGTAGTGGAGGACCCCACTGCCGTGCTGTAGCCCTTGGGCCCCAGCTGCTCTCCCCAATGCTGCACAGGAGATCGATGCTGTCGAACTGATCGGAGAGCGTGAAGGAAGCCCACATCCGTCGTGCTCTACCCTGTCGGACTCATCGGCCGCCTCCTGGCCGTGAATTCTGTCATGCATGACCTGATGCCTGGCGGCGCTGCTAGGCCCCCTCCTCCCCTCGGGGGGGTTCGGCGGGCGCTGCTGCTGCCTGCTCCTCGGCTCCAGGAGTTGCAGGTGGGGAGGGGGTTGCTGTGCCCCTTGTCTCGTCCCTCCTGCGGGCCACTCGGCCACGAATACGTGCTATGCCTGACTCTCCAGAGTCTACCCGCTGACCCTTGTGAGCCTGGCTGATGTCTTCTCCTGGAAATGCGGGCGCGGGTCCAAAAGCCTCCTCAAGGGCTGCAGCTGCGGCGGCGGCTGAGGTGTGCTGGCGCGTTAGGATGTCGATGCCCTCGTACTGCCTCTCGATGCTGGCTGCTGCCGCCTCTGCGCTCTGCTGGGATGCAGGGGGAGGGGTCAGTACGAAGCTGTCGGCTCCCTCTCCACCTCCTTGGCCGCGCTGCTCATCATGCCCGATTGGAACTGTGGGCGTGAGTGACCTCTCACTGAGTGGCGCTGGCGATGCTGGGATGAAGATCACCTGAGATGCTGTCGGAGTAGGAGGGTCGCCTTGCTCTGCTGGTACCGAGCTAGCCCTTGAGGTGGATGCCAAGTCTGTGTCTGTCTCGTGCTGCGTGACCCCCCTCATCTCCTCGCTCTCCTCGGGTGTGGGGTGATCCTGGCTCCAGGGCGGCCAGCTGGCGGGGTAGATCATCGGCGCGTGCTCCGAGCAGTCGCCCTCCACTTGGGAGTCCTGTGGGCCCGCAGGGCCGAACTGAGTCAAGGGGGCCTCCTCGTAGTAGCGCCTTTGGATCTCCTCCGCCTCGTGATCCCTCACTACGGACTCCAGCTCCTCCGCCATCTGTGCGGCTTCCCATTGTGCTTTCTCCTCGGCGTCTTGTCTGCGCAAATCATCTTGTTCGCGCTCGTACCTTTCTGCCTCCTCACGCGGGTCTGGCCTGTCGGGGCTCCTGGACCTGTCGCGCTCTCTGTGGGGTACATCGCCTTCATCGGTCTGGCGGGCTGCAGATCTGGCTGACCTGATTGATACGGGCCTCCGAGGCGAGGAGCTGCCCTGCCCACGGCCCCTATTGGCTGGGCGCTCCTCGGCTGCACCAGTTGGGAGAGTGGTCGCAACGGGGGGCTCCGCTGGGGCGGTAGCTGCCTCGGCTGCTCCTCTAGCTTTCTCGTGCAGGTCGGCCGGCGGCCTCCTGGTAGTCGTCCATGGACTCTTGGGACGTTGGGAGGTGGCCCCCTTGAACGAGGTGATGAGCTGCCTTCGTCGTGAAGTCGTAGCCCTCCTGCCCGTATTGCCTCATCTCGGCGTACAGATTGACCATGGCTTTGCGTTCACGTTCCCTACTGGCTGCAATGGGTTCCAGGCTCTGCATTCTCAGCTGTAACTCCTCAGTCTCGGACGCACCCTGCTTCTCTTTCTTTGCGATGGCGTCGAGCTCGGTGTGCGGCGTGCTGGAGCGCTGGAGGCTTTCTTGCAGCGCGAGGTGAATGGCCTCCTCCCTACCAGTCCTCTGCTGGCTGGCAAAGTGTTCCATGGCGGAGGCCTCCTCCATGCTGGCGATCCTGAAGGTGAGGGCTTGGGCGAGCTCCTCCTCCAGCGCCTGCTCCTGCACCGCTGCGTTGGACCTTTGCTCGCTCAGCTGCACCGCGTAGCTGCTCAGTTCCTGTCGCAGGCTCTCTGTGTGCAGCTGCAAATCATGTGCGTTTGCTTCTTCTATCATGACTTGGCGAGTGAGACTCGACCTTATTTGCTCAGCACTGCCGTCGAGCTCCGCCCGCATTGCCTCCTTATCCTTCAGGCTGGCCTTCGCAATCTCCTCCTCCTCTGCTCTGGTCCTTAGCAGGGCGAACTGCAGTGCCCGCACCTCGTGCGGGATCTGCCGCTCCTCGTTGGCGCTCCTCAGCTCCGCTGCTTCGTGGTAGGCGACCTGTACTGCACGCTGCGCAGCGCCCGCTTCGAGCTTGGAGTACTGCTGGAGCTCGTGGATGCGGGCCTCAGCTGCCTCGAGCTCGCTTTTGGTCTGCTTGAGCCGATCCTGCTGCCGTGCTGCTGTCTGGATGATCCCTTGCAGCCTGGCCGCTTCTGCCGGCGGGAGGGCTCCTTTTCCCGTGGCATTGGCAACCACTTGGGCCTGGGCAGTTGCCTGGACCCTGGCTGATTCAGCGGCAGCTTCGAGCTCAAGGGCGTGGTCCTTCTTGGCCTCCTGTAGCTTTTCTTCCATGGCCACCTCCTGCCTGATGAGCTGCTGCTTGGGAGTGCTAGCTGCAGCTGCCGCTTGGGCTCCCTCGTGCTGGGCCTGTCGCAATGCCTCCTGCGCCTGGGCGCGTGATCGCAGTAGGTCTTGGTAGACCCTGTCCTGGTGCTGCGGCTGCGCTCGGTGCTCCGCGCGGGCGCACTCAAGCTGCTCTCGCAGGTGATTAGCACGTTGGGTCGCCGCCTCGGCCTCAGCCTTGGCTTGACTGAACGCTGCGTCATGGCTGATTAACCTGGCCTCCATCTGCGTCGCGAACTCGAGCTGCTCGGCTTGTTGCTTCTTGATCTCGTGGCGGAGAGCCTTGTGTTGCTGCTGCTGCAGTTGCTGGGCTGCGCTCTCCGCTACGGTGGTGCGCTGCAGCTGCTCGGACTCCTCCTTCAGGGCCAGCCTGAGCTTCGCCTGCTCGGCGTTGTGGCGGAGTGCCTGCTCGCGGGCGACCCTCCTGACTTCCGCCAGCTCAGCAGCGAACTCGTGCTCGGCTTCGGCATGGCGCTGCTGTTGATGGGCTCGCTCCGCGTTCGCCTTAGCCACTTGATCGGCGAAGCCTCTGGTTACGCTTCCTGCCGAGCTGGCTCTTGGGCGTGGCGAGCGCCCCACCACTCCCGCTGGCCAAGCAGGGGGTCCGTCCCCAGGTGCCTCGCTGTTCAGGCGCCTATCGATCACGGCCTTGTGGAAGGTATCCCAGCTCGGCGCCAAACCAAACCCGTCCGCGTCCCAGTCGCCCTCGTCGTCCGCCGCGCCGCCGTCGGCGAGCACGGCCCGCGCGTCGGCGATGTTGGACTCGACCTGCCTCAACTCCTGCTGCTTGGCCTTGAGGTCGTCCCGCATCTCGTTCATCTTGGCCTCGAGGGCGATGACTTCGAGTTTGAGGGCCTTGCGCCTTTTGCTGAGCACCTGTAGCTGGTCATTCGGCCTCCTCGTGACCAGCTTCTGATATTTGATGACCGCGATTTCCATCAACTGCTCCTTCGTGCTGTCGCCCGCGGCCTGCTTGGCAATGACCAGGTCGCCGAGCTTCCTCAGCCTCTGGTCAGCGCTGCTCAGGAACTTCTGGATCCCTGCGCGGTCGGCCGGGGGCGCCTGCCACTTTGGGTGGGAGGTGGCCTCGTCCAGCGTGCAGGCCGCCACGGAGTCGATGACTTTTTGGGCTCGCTGGTCCGCTTTGCTGGAGCTGGACTGGCTACCCTTGCCCGCCCTGGGCTGCTGCTGCTGCTGCTGCTGCTGCTGCCAGGGGGGCTGGCTGGGTTGCTGCTGCTGCTGCTGCTGCGGCTGCCATTGGCGAGGGCTGGCCTGGCCTGAGCGCCGTGGCCTCGATGGCGCCCTGCGCCAGGGCGGGTCCTCGCCTGCTGGCTCCGCATGCCAATGCTGCTCTTGCCAGCCAGCTCCATGCCACCTCTCCTGGCGCCATGGGGGCGCTGCTGGCGGTGCTGCTTCCTCCTGGGCCTGGCCCTTGCCGCTGCGGCCACCACTGCCTCTGCCCTTCCCGTCTCGGGCCAACGCTGGCTGGGCAGAGTGGTGGGCGGCCAGGCGCTCGGCCGCTGCCCGCAGGCGGAGCAGGAGCCTGTCCTGGGCTCTCTGCTGCCGCTCACGGCTGTGGGCAGCGCCCTCTGGACCTCTTCCTCGGCGATGTCGCGGCGTCCCGCCGCTGGACCGCAGCGCGGCCGCGAGCGCCGCGGCCTGCGGCAGGGGACAGGGAGGCACGGGTGGCCCCCTGCCGCAGAAGATGGCGCGCGGCGCGCGTGAGCCCGGCCTCGGGGGCTGGCCGATGCGCGATGCGCCCTGCCACCGCGATCGATCGGGCGGCAGGCGCCGACCGACCCCGATGGATCGATCGGGATCGGCTGGCCCGCAAGAGGCCAAATGGCTTCGTCCTCCTCCTCCTCCTCCTTCTCCTCCTCCTCCTCCCTCCTCCTCCTCCTCCTCCTCCTCCTCCTCCTCCTCCTTGGATGTCCTCTCGAGGTTCTCGTGGCGCGCCCCGTGGCCGGTTGCCGCCCCCCTTCCGTTGCAGTCCATTGCCCGGTTCTGCACGCCGCCGGCCGAGAGGTCTCGGGGCGGCCCGCGCCGTCGGGACTGCCGAGTGTCCGCGTCTTTCCTTTGCGCTCTTCCTCGGTCGTCCTCCTTGCCCTCCTTCGGCGTCCTCTGACACTTCCTCTTGGGATTGCTCACAGATGTCGACGGAGGCCCTCCAGGATTCAGTATCGGGCCTTCGTTCAGATCCCAGGTGTTTTGTGTGTGTGTGTGTGCGTTTTGTTTCGGGGGGCTTCTGGATTCCCATCAGATTTTTGTGAAGTCCGTTCGGACTTCACTGAGGATGTTGCGTGCTGGGCCGCGGCGACGATCGCCGGGGCTGGCGATTTCTCGGACGTCCCATACATGTGCTAACGTATCGCGGGAGTTGGGCGCGTCACCTAAGAACGACTCGTTTTGACAATCTGGCCGTGAGGCAGGGGTCGAGAAGTCCGGGGGCCCATGTTTTGAACAAGTGGAGCTGCCAGGCGTCGGAGTCCCAGGATCAGTAACGAAGAGCGGAGGCGGCTTCGCCGTCGCAAGGTTGGCGGAAGTCGCGGGGGAGGGCTCAGGATCGAAAACCGAAAATCGACCGAGATCAGAGGGTTCCTCTGATTACAGTTCTTGTTTCTCGGGACTTCCAGGGGCCTCCGGAGACCTGTGCCAGAGGGCCTCGGAGGTCCCTCAGGCTGCGGGACCTCCATTTGGGCTCTGGCCTCGAGCGACCATTGGGGACTTCCCAAGGCTTCAAGACATTCGTAGTGGGCAGGGAAGGAAAGACGGAGGAGGCGGATCGGTAGATCCTGGCGTCCTCGGTGTTTTCAGAATTGACCACGTGGAGGTTCCCCATCCTACTTTTCCCGGGCACGGCGTGTCCCAGGGCGAGGCCCGGGACCCGAGTGCAGAGAAGGCGTCCCATTGCTGGTCCTTCTTCGGGCACTGCATGGCTCTGAGACTCTTTGCGGGAGGGCAGCCGTCGTTTTCAACTAGAGACTGGCCTGCTCGCATAGTTTTTTGTGTGCCAAGTCTGAGGCCCGTCTACGCACGCATGTCACAGTCGCAACCGAGGGTAAGGATGAGCGATTTCCAAAGGGTGCACTTTCATCCTTCACTCCTCGGTCCGTCCTTAACCACTCGACGGCCAGTCCCGCTCGAAGAGCCTCGACATGGGCTGGACATGGGCGTCCAAGGGGCTTGCATCCTCATCGTGCATCCTTACTGTCGGTTTGGGCTGTCAACTATTTTCAAGTACCGAGTCCACAGGAGTATCCGCAAGGAGGCTGGTATTGGCAGCTTCCACTGCGTGGAGCTATGCGCGCCCGTCCTCCGTGGCGCCTATTTGAAGAGTTGTTTCAAGCAAGCACGTGTTCACACGGCGCTTGTTTTAAGTTCATCCCTCTGAGGTGATCCGTCATGCCCCGTGTGTCTCTTTCTCTCACTTGCTCCTCCTTCCTTCGATCATGCCTCATGCTCCTTCCTCTTACCATGAAGTTCCATCCGAGTGGTTGTGCGTGCTGATGGTTCACGTTTAGCAGCATGTAGGCTTGAGCGCTTGTAGGTCCGAACAGCGATTTGCGCATAGCACGTGTGCAAGGCCGAGCAGCGAGGCGCCCGCAAAATCTTGTGCGATGTGCTTCTACCCGGCGAATGCCAACGGCAGTTGTGACCACGACGGCGGGACATATGTATACACGTGGCTGCCCTGCTCCCGCGATGCTCTGTGCCAACTGTCGGTGCTTTTTTCACCACCCACCAAACCACCCCAACCCAACCCGAAGGCTCAGATTTACCCTCGATTTCCAGTGGGGGGGTCGGGAAACATCGAAAAAACACATGTGGAACACTTACCCCCTCCAACCCGAAATTCGGGTCTTCGGGTTGGGTTGGGGTGGTCTGGTAGGTAGTCATGTTTTATCTTCCTGAAAAATTGTCAAGGCGAGATGCATGGGTCTGGGAAGTGGGAGCATGCAGTTGAGCAAAGAGGGGGTCAGCAGCCAAAGCGAATATCCGGATCAGTCTGGGCAGGCCCATGAGTCAGCCATCATGCCTTCGTGGTTCTTTCGATATAGGAGCCTTTCGGCAGCTCTCTTGGGGTCAGTTTGGGGCTCTCTTGGGGTAAGTCTGTAGCATTGGGGGCTCTCTTGTGGCCCTCTTGGGGCTCTCTTGGGGACCCTCTTGGGGACCTTGGGGGGCCCTCTCAGGGCCATCTTGGCGGCCATCGATTAACACGGAGGGTCCTTAAGCCGCGGCCCCCCCGTCGGAGGCGGAAACGTCAAGTCTTGCGGCCCTCTCGGGCGGCCGCTTTTGGGGCGAGCCGTCCTGGAGCCTCCGTGTGTCCCTTTTCGGGCCCTTGGCCACCTTGGAGTCATTTTGGGGCCTCGAAAACCAAACGAAGCTGGAAAGGCGACAATGCAACACACATTGATGTTCTTAGCGTTATGGTGGAGTTTGAGGCTCTTGGGGTGGGTCCTTGGGAGGCCCCGTGGCCACCTAGATCCTTCCTGGGGTCGCCCTTGAGGCCTCTTGGAGGCATGTTGGAGGATATCTTGAACCATCTTGGTTATCTTGAGCTGGGGTCAATCTTGGGCCATCTCGAGGCCTCGTGGAACCATCTTGAGCAGTCTTGGATGCTCCAGCGACCTGCGAAACCTACCCTCCAGACTCAGGGAAGGGTGTACGGGAAGGGGTCAAACTAACCCCCCCCCTCAAGGACGGCCTCACTCCCGCCCGCTTTGTCACCACATTGTAGCACTCGGGTCTCAGCATGGGCAGCGGCCGCCATCGACCATCATCGGAAACCAATGCACACGCCAGTCCGGTGCTCGACGCCTGCGAGGTGCGCCGCGCGTGCAAGGGCACCCCCATCTCCCCTGTCAAAAAACACTGAGAAAGTGATCGCGGGGCGCTCGCGCATTATCGTTACCAGAAAAAGTGTTGACTGTTGTTGTCGAAGCCGAAGCCGGGCGGCGGCCAGGGCCCTCTGGAGCGCCGGCCGATTTGGCTCCTTCCCAGCCTGTACCGGCTCTGGGCGGCCGGGCGCGCCCGCCTCTTCGCGCAGTGGCGCTGCGGCTGGGACGGCGACGAATGGCGGCGTGCGGCAGAGGAGCATGCTTGGGAGCTGGCCTCGGAGCTTGAGGCCGCCGACGCCCTCTCCGAGGAGATCGTTGGTAGTGCCCTTGATTGGAGTCAGGCGTACGACCAGGTGGACCTGGGCACGCCTCCGATTCTGTTGGAAAGGGCGGGCGTCCCGCCCTGGCTCGCGCGCCCTGCGCTGTGTCCCTACAGAGCTTGTCGTCGGGTGCGCGTCGACAGCGCGATTGGTGAGCCTTGGGCCCCCTCGCGCGGGCTGCTGCCGGGGTGCCCGCTCGCCGCGTTCGTGCTGGGAGCCTTGACCCGGCCGTGGGCCCGCCGCGTGGCCAGGCTGGGCGACCTGCTCCGCCATGGGGTGCACGTCGGCGAGTTCACCTTGTGGGCCCGCGCGGCGGCCGCCCGCTCCAGCAAGCGCTGCAAGCGACTGGCGCCTTCGGAACGGCCATGGGGTGGCAGCTCAACCGGAGGAAGTGCCGTCAAGCCGCCAGGCGTTGCGGCAATGGCTGGCAGAGCGGACTCCCGGCATCCGCACCTGCCCAGGCTTCAAGGACCTCGGGTTGATGGCCACCGCTGGCAGGGCTCGCCGGTGCGCTGTCTCCGCGGGCCGGCTGGTTGTCGCGCAGGGGCGGTTTGGCCGACTCGGCCGGTTGCCAGTCGGTTTCCGCCAACGCTGCCTCCTGGGCGCCGCCGCCGGCGCGGCAGCGGGGCTGTATGGCGCGGCGTGCGGGCGCCCCCCGGTGCGGGAGTTGTCTGGGCTTTGCGCTGCCGCGCGGCGCGCGGTCTGGCGTGGCGGGTTCTGGGCGGCCTCGGAGGTCGTGTGTTGGCGTCCTGGCCTTGAGTTGGCGGCTCAAGCCAGCGGCGGGGGCCGTTATCGCACCGTTAAGGCAGGTTTGCAAAGACCTCCGCAGGCGTCGCTTCCCGTCGGAGCTTGGGAGGCGCGCCGCCAGCGTCATGGCGGCCGGGCACAGCCGCGGCTTCGGCCCCATGGATGCGGCGCTCTGGAGCCTGGCGGTGCTGCAGCTAGGGCAGGACATCGAGTGCTGGGCGGGGGTCCCCACTGCGCCCGGCGGCTGGCGCCCGGCCCGCCGCGCCCTGCCCGACACGCGGGACGTGCTCCTCCGCGCTTGGGTAGCCCGCGAGGCACGCAAGGTGGCTGGGCGACGCGTTGGCTTTCATGACCGCCGGCGTCGACAGGTGGGCCACCGGGCGGCTCCTCGAAAGCGACAAGTTGGCGGCCGACGCAGCGGGCGCACTCCGCGCCGCGGTTTCCGGGAACGTCGTCACGGCCGCGGTGGCGGCGAAATGGGGGCGCCCAGCGGCGTGTTTCCTCATTGCGACGCGGCGCGAGACGACCTGGAACACATAATTATTTTGGGTCTGCCCCTGCTGGGAGCCCGCCCGCGCCGCCGCTTTGGCCACCGAGGGCCTCGCGCGCGCGACAGCCCGCGCGCGGTTGCCGGCGGAGACGGCCCCCGACGCCAGCCTGCCTCGGACGCGCGCCTGGACAGACGGCGCTTGCGCGCACCCAACCGACCCCCTCCTCGCCAGGGGCGTGGGGAGTGGCGCTGGCTCAGGGCGCGGCGGGCCGCCTGGAGCACCGCGGGCCTGTTGACGGCGCGCAGACAGCACGGCGGGCGGAGCTCGCGGCCGCGACTCACGCGCTCTCCCTGGCGGGGCGGCTCGTCGTGGTGGTGACCGACTCCCGCTTCGTCAGCAACGGCGTCGCGGCGATCCGCGGTGGCGTTCCCCCGGAAGATTTAGCGCACGCGGACATCTGGGAGGTGAGCGCCCTTCACTGCCGCACCGTCGCGCTGACCGCAGGTTGGGTGAAGGGCCACCTCGACGCCGCCGAGGCCGCCGAGCGCGGCGCGTCGCCGGTGGCCCGCGATGGCAATGCCGCGGCGGACCGCCTCGCGCGGGCGGCGGCCGAGGCCCGGCTGCCCCAGCTGGCGCTGCGCCAGGAGCGCGAGCAGCAGCTGGTCGCCCTCCAGGCAGTGCAACGCGCGCTCGCCATGGTGGAGATGGAGGCTGAAAGGCCAAACACGGGCGTGGCCCGGGGGGCCCGCGAGCGCGGCGGCGCTGGACGGCGGCAGGGCACCGCCGCCGCCGCGTGCCCCGCGAGGGCGATGCAGCCGCAGTCGCGGTCGCGGTGGCGCTGGCGGCGGCGCCGGGGCAGCCGCGCGCAGCGCCGGGTCCCGGGGCGGCCGCTGCAGCGAGGGCATTGTTCGCCGGCCGAGCTTGGCAGGGGCACGTCGCCTCCCAAGGGCCTGCTTGGGTGGCTTGCATGGCCTGCGGGTGCTGTGCCCCGCGGTGGCTGCGCCTGGCGAGCCGCCCGCGCAGCGGGTGGATGCCCCTGCTGCTCCCGCGCGCGGCCGGGCTGCTGCTCCAGGACGCCCCGCGGGCGGGGGGCAGCGAGGCGGTTTTGCGCGCGGCCGTGCGGCGGCGCTTGCTGGAGCGCCCGTGGCCGCCAGACCGGGCCCCTCGCGCTGCCGGGGCGCGCTGATGCCGTTTCCCCTTCCCGGGCGTGCTGGTGCCTGGCCGACGGTTGCCTTTCAGGCGAGACGACGAGCCCTCGGGGCTTGCCGCTGCTCAGGATGTTGCGGTCTTTGGCGCGGACACGGCGCCGCTCGGTTCGCCTGAGCGGCACTCGCGGGCGATTGCCGACCGGGGCCCGCCTCGGCGAAGCACCCGAGTTGAGGCATGGGGACATCACTCGGAGGGCGCCAACTATACACCAACACCGATCCTGGCCCAGGATCACCCTGAGCCCAGGATCGGTGTATATGCCTTCTTGCGCAAGGCAGGAGGGCGTATACACCGATCCTGGGCCCAGGGTGATCCTGGCCAGGATCGGTGTTGGTGTATAGTTGGTGCCTTCCTAATCGCGTTCAGCGGGGGTGTCGGTTTCGCGCTGGGCAGGGGGTGTCCTTTTGATGATGGATAGGGTGACTCACGAGCCCCTGTCTGGCCGCGACGCACGATCAGGTGAACATGCCGCCCCTCGCGCGTGGCGCTCTCCTTGGCAGACAGCTGGCGGCCGCCGTCGGTTTCTCGCGAGCGAGCGCGAGGAGGTGGCTTCGGTTTTGGAGGCCGCCGACCCAGGGCTCCGCACTTGGGAGATTGGGCGCCGCGAGGACGAGCGCGGCCACCGCGCCGCGCACTCCGCGACGCTGGGGGCGCTGCCGTCGGCCGAGGAGTCGGGCGGGGATGGCGGCGCGCGCAACCAGTGGCCGCGGGCGCGGGCGAGGGCGAGGGCGAGCGAGATGGACACGGGGCGCTTCGAGGAGATCGAGGCGCGCCCGCGGACGAGCCACGGCGAAGGAGGAGGACCACGGCGAATGCGCCCCCTGCCGTGGCCCCCCTGGCGTCGGGGGGGCGGGCCGCGTCAGGCGGCCGAGGGGCGGCGGCGGCTCTTCCCGCTGCCAGCCTCGCATGTTGACCAGCTGTCAGGGTCGGTCGTTCCCAGCAGCAACAGCGTCGGGATCGATCGCGCGAGGTACTTCCCATGCTAGCGGCAGAGGCCATTGGCGCGCTTAATTGGTTGAGATGTCACCGCGTCCTCGAGCCGAAGAGCAAGCAGGCGGGCTTCGGCCTGACCTCGGAGATGGCGGATTCAACGA